GCTCCCGCCGCGGTGGCGCAGGCCACCCCCGCAATGACAGGGGCCCGCCGCCGTCACTGAGGGCCCCGAGTGACCAGACCGGTTGGGGGGCCGTCCCCGGGAGGCGTAGCGCGTGCCGAGCCGGCTCGTTTGCATGCGTCCCTCCTCCGTCATGGCAATTGCGGGGACTGACCCAGCGCCCCCTCGGAGCGCTGCACTGTCAGCAGTCCGGGGCACTGCAGTGCCACCCGGGCAGAGGACATCAGTCGCCTCGTAATCTCGGGGAACCGTGGCTTTGCTGATGGATTTTTAACTGTATTTCATGAAATGTGATTTTAGGAAGTGAACATGCAGACGAGCTAAGCATCTTATATTCCAATAGAGCAGCATGTTGCCTAAAGGGAGGACACTGCAGTGGCTGCATTCAAGACTGTACCAGGTAAACTGCACGATTTCAGGTGTGTCCGGACATGTTATCATTTCAGTACGAGGAGTGCGATTTTCATATCCCCGATGCTCTGCTCCAGTGTCTAATTTGACATACCTTTCGAAGTGGTATTAATTGAGGAATAGGTCTAATCCCGAGTGTTGTCGTTTTCATGGCTACCGCTGCAACTCCTACCATTTCACATCACCCTTCCAGAATAACCCAACTCTCGGCCATCCAGTCAATTCTGACTCATAGCAACCTTTGAAGACAGAGTAGAACTGCCCACGTTAGGTTTCTGAAGGCTGAAAGTCTCTACTGGAGTGGAAACCTCATCTTTTGTGGGGCCGCTAGTCGTTTTGAGCTGCTGGACCTTCCGGTTAGTCCTCTAGTGCCACCAGCCAAAACAAACACACAGCCTTAGAGCTGATGCTTCAGGGTAGAACTGCCCTGTGAGTTACAGGTAGTCTTTGCCGGCTGAGCAGGCCAGGGGTTTTAAACGGTCGACTTGCGGATCACAGTCCACCTCTTAGTCCACTACACCATCAGGGCTTCTTACTACACCACCAGGGTTACTGCAAAAGGCTTCCCACTTGTTTCTGTGCCTCCTACTGTAACATCAGAGTAACTTTCCTAATGTAGTATATTTCTGAGACGATTTTCAAACAGGCATTCCTGTTTGTCTTCCAGATCCTCATAAATGTCACCACCTTGGCCCTCAAACAAGCTTTCTGTGCCCACCTAGTCCACTGCACCAATTTCTTACAGTCATCTCCCCAAGTTCTGGGCCGTTGCCCAAGTTGTCTTGTTTTCTGGAATGCCCTAGGGATGTCTTGCATTTTCAGTATCTGCTTCCCTGGCCATCCTAGCCAGAGGAAGGTCCCCATTTTTTGCCCATCTGTCATATTTACACCTGCCTGTACTGCCACTCTGTCACACTTGTGAGTTCTATGTTATCCACTGAATGGGTTTTAAGCTTCTTGAAGTCAGAAACCATGTCTTCTACAACTTCATACCCTCAAAGCACAATACCCACCCATGGTACTCAATAGATTATATACTGCGATGAGTGAATACGTTTACTTGAATGAAAGTATTGTTTTCTTTTGCCATTGTCTGCTTCACAAACCCTTTGGCAAAAAGTGCCTGGTTACACATCTGAAAATAAGTCATATTCTGGTGTGACCGATACAGTTCTGGTTTAGTCTGGCTGTCTGGTATTATTATCACCCTCAGAAGTCCTAGTGTGAGGACAATAAATTATGTCACCCCGTTTTATAAGGTGAATAATTTGTTATCTTTTTCCATTGGCTGTATCAATGTATCGGTGTGAGTCAACCCTTGCTAGCTGTATCTGTGGAAGAGCCCTGGTGGTGGAGTGGATTATGTGTTAGGCTATGATCCTCAAGGGTAGAAGTTCAAAATCACTGCCTGCACTGCTGGAGAAAGACGGGGCTTTCTACTCCTGTAAAGAGTTGTCTTACGATTTGTAAGCACCCCCCAATAAAATTTTTACTAAAAAAATAAAAATAAAAGGGTGATAGTCTTGGGAATCCACAGGGACAATTCTACACTGCCTTATGGGATTACTGTGCGTCAGCATTGACTCCATAGCTATAAGTGAGTTATTTGTGTAGGACACAAGGCTTGGAGAACCTCTTGGATCTGTGCCAGTTTTATACTTAAACTCAAAGTAGGTTTATATTCACTGTACCCTACTCTCGACCCCAAAGTCCATTTTCAGGATTTTGTATGCTGTCTATGTCAGTAACTGTAGATCAGCAATGAGAGAAGTAATTGGTAAACACTGAGCTTTTTTTTTTTTTTTTCCATTTTTCTTCCCTGGCAAGAGCCCGTCCTGGCACCTTTACCCCTTCCCACAATAACGAACAAGAGCTCGTGCATTTGGAGGACACCAGGGCTTTGTGGTTTGCAGCCCAGAACCTTTCAGCTCCTGTCTGTTTCTAATATAAATACTGCCCTACAGTTTTGTTGTAGGTTCTTCCAGAGTGAGTTAAAGTGGCAAGCCCTGGTGGTACAGTGGGGTATGTGTTGGGTTGCAACACCAAGGTCATTAGTTTGAATCTACCAGCCACTCCACAGGAGCAAGATGAGGCTTCCTGTTCCCATAAAGATGTGTCGTTCCCACTCATACTGACCGTATGTACAGCAGAACAAAACACTGCCTGGGTCTGCTCCACCCTCACAATTGTTCCTGCGTTTGAGCCCGTTGTTGCAATGGCTGTGTGGACCCATCTTGTCAAGGGCCGTCTTCTTTGTCACTGTCCTCCTTCACCAAGCATGATGTCCTTCTCCAGGAACTGGTCTCCTGATAAACATTTATAGCCTCGGAAACCCAGGGAACAAGCAGTTCTGCTTTGCCCTCCAGGGTCGTTATGAGTCCAAATTAACTCGATGGCAGTGGATTAGGGGGGTTAGTTAAAATTTGGGGCCCGTCAATTTAGGGCTGCTGTAGAGCTGTGGACTCACTTGATACTTAAATGAGAGCATTTGAGGAGCCGTCGTGTACTTGTTAAAATTCCTCACATCTCACTGAAGACCCAGGAAGTCATCTGAGATAGGACTCTGGCCTGGCTGCGTGCTGTCCCAGGAGCCTGGAATGGGGCTTGCCCTGGGAAAGAGTAGGAGAAGGCCTGTGAGGGAGGTTTAGGGCTTGGGAGGGTTATGGGTGGGGAGGTAGGGCATGCTTAACCTGGGTCTGCAGAGAGACAGCCTACTTAGATGTTTTCTTCAACATCCAGTATCTGAGACCCAACATAAGTGAAGCCATGAAGGGATGATTTTGCTCCAGAGCAGTGGTTCTCAAGCTTGTTTTCATGCCAGAGAAGCCATATGGTGCTTTTGAGGACATTTTGAAATCTCGATGTATTCAAAGGTACATGAACTAGGAATAATGAGCGGGAATCAGTAATCTGTCAATCTTCTCCCTACTCAGTCTCTGCCATCAAGTAATTCCAACTCACAGTGATCCTGTAGGACAGGGTAGAACTTCCTCTGTGGGTTTCCAGAACTGTGACTCTTTACGGGAGTAGAAAGCCTTATCTTTTTCCTGTTGATCAGCTGGTGGTTTTGAACTGCTGTCCTTGTGGTTAGCAGATCAACACATGACTTCAGGTAGGAGTATAGCTTCACCTCCCAAAGACTGCATGCATTTTGAAAATAGCTTATTTTGGAGTTTTGTTTCTTTGAAGCTAATTCTGCTTCTTCTTTTGAAGAGTTGTGTCCCATGAATGTTTAAGATCTGACAAATGGCAGCAGGAGTCAAATGTCTAAAAAGGAAAACAGGGAGGCAAAATTTCCAGTAAAGGGGGAGGAGGAAGTACAAGTGGAAATGACTTTCTATGCAGTGTCAGGGAAAAACAACTCATTTGATTTCACAAGTACGAGCTCCTGGGACCCACTCTTTGGCACACTGGTATTCCCAGCGGGGTGGGGGGTGGGGGGGGAAAGGGGGCGTGTTTGAGGAATCGCTATTCAGAGTACAGGGTGTTTTTTGGAGGGCGCTTTAAGCCCCTGCACCCCATCCTCACCACACTATCCCCATGTTTCTGTTTCAGACTTCCAGATGAAACATGGAAGGGGGTTAGGATGCCTGACCACAAGTCTGCATCATCGCCCCAGGTTTAGACTCTGAATTGGGACAGGGCCATCTTGCGTGGGTAACCGGCGGCATGGGCATGGAAGTCTGCTGGGGAGTAGAGGGGTCACGTGGTTGAGAGGGACAGGGCTCTCACTTCTCTCTTAATGGGGGTCGTAGTCCCTAAATGTGGTAGTTAGGTGCTACTGACCCCTGGGACAGAGTGGAGTATAGGGTTTTCTAAGCTAGAATCTTTATAGAACACATCACAGATCTTCCTCCCATGGAGCTGCTGGGGGGAGTCGAGCTGTCAATCTTTCAGTTACCAACAGAGCACTGAAACATTATGACACCAGGATGTCTTCCTCAAATCCTAAGCTAAGCTCCTTTTAAAGCAGGGGTCCAACCAATGGATCCCAGCACTCAAGATCATTGCTGTTTTTGTTTTAAATTTTAATATTTAATTGTGCTGTAGGTATACATTTGCATAGCAAATTAATGTTCCAGTCAGGCCCTTGACAAATCGTTTTGTGACATTGGTTGAGATCCCTGTGGCAGGGCTCTCCCCATTTCCATCTGTCCAGTCTCTTATACCATCTCCCACCCCCATTTCTAAGCTTTGCTTTTAGACAGCTGATTGTTCTGGAGAGCACATTCCTCGCGGGTGGGGGTGGTTATTGTCTAGGCCAGTCTATCATTGTCTGAAAGGTTGTCTCCGCCACTGACTTCAGATTCAAGTTACAAGGCTGCCTTAGGCCGGTAGTCTCGGAGTTTTTTCCAGTCTCAGACCAGTAAGCCTTGTCATTTTTATGAACTTGAATTTGGTTATGTTTTTCCTACACTTGTAACTGGGAACCTCCTTTGTGACCCTGGTCAGAATGATCAGTAATGCTAGCTGGGCACCATCTAGTGCTCTGGCTCTAGGTTAGAGGGGGTTGTGGTTCATGTGGCTGTTAGCCCTTTGGATTAATTGCTTCCTTGAGTCTTCAGTTTGCTCCATTCTCCTTTGCTGCAGACAGGAAGAGACCAATGATTTTTCCTTGGTGGTTGCTGGCAAGCTTTTAAGACCCCAGATCATCATCATATTATGATGGTCTGGGGTCATTATGAACTATGTTATGCCACTTGATTTAGCTGTCCCCTGAGGCTATGTTCCTTAGCTTTCAAGCCCAGTAGCTCAGTCCCATGAAGTGTTTGGCTATGTCTCAGAGTTGTCCCTGATGGTGCCCTTGTGTGCTCTATTTTATATATGTAAACATACATGTAGAAATGTCCACAGCCAGACTTATATGTGCATATGAGTGTGCTCCTGTATGGTCTCCCCCATCTGTTCAGGGTACACACCTCTCTTTTTATCCATTCACACATTGCCGTTCATGATTTCTCTGGCATGATTGTGGATGTTTTGGAATTTACCCAAATTGTACGTTGTTCTTACAGACCTCTTGTTTCTGTGTCTTCCTTCACCATCGGTCACTTTACGCTGGCTTCTTTATTACTCTAGGAACTTTAGAGAAACAAATCCACAGAAACTCATGTATAAGAGAGAGTTTTATATAAAGGGTAAGTGCACATCAAGAAAACATCCCAACCCAGTGATGTCCAAGCCCACAAGTCTAACATTAACCCATATGTCCAACACCAATCCACAAAGCCCTCCTCCATCTCAAAAAACAGACACAATGATGCTGACTGCAGGAGGAAAACCGAATCAGTGAACGTGTAAGCATCTCATTGCTGGCAGAGGTCTCCACACGGCTGCTCCAGCACCCAGGGCTGCATTGTTGTAGGTCCGTACGGCTTCTCAGGGATGTCTTGCAGAAAGTGAGCCTTGCCAGCTGAAGCAGGGAACTGGCTAAGGTGGCTGCACCCTGGTCCGATCATCACAAAGCAAGAGCCACAAAAACTAGCAAGGTGAGGCTCACCTAGCCATTTATTTCTCCACCCTTCAATTACTCCCACATGTGTTTATCGGCCAGATTGGCACAATAAACTTTAACTGTCATATGTACATTGTGGGAGTCTGTAGTGTTGAAATAGTTTTGTTTGATTTTTCATTGTGTTTTCCTTAAGTCGCATACCCTGATGACAGAAGTAACACAGGCTCATGGTAGAGACATTTAAGACCCAGTACAGCACCACGAAGCTAATCAGAGTCACTTACAGTCCTAACACCTAGGCAGAGCCAGACTGGTTACTTTCCAGGGAAATGGCGCCAAGGAGAGTTGGTCAGCGTTGGTAGGTGAGCTTGCGAGGCGCAGGGTTGAGACGCGCCATGAGTGTCTCCAGACCGCCTGCTGTGGGTCGGGAGCAACTTGAGGGCCACGCAGTGGAGTTTATGACACAGAGGGTTGTGAATGAGCCAGAGGGCAGATGGCTCCCATGTCATGTTTTGCAGTTTTATTATATGAGGGGGCTTCAAAAGGCTCGTGGAGAAATCCCACGGTCTTTCAATAGTCTTTCCACGAACGTTGTAGAGCCCTGCCCTTGGTGGTGTGGCAGAAAGAATTTAGGCTCTGAAGGCCAAGGCACCATGGTTTTCCCCACAGGTTTGTCGAGGGCCTCTCGGGGCTTAGGTGTGGATCTAGTTTGACACACTGGGAATATCGGGGTGCACAGGACAGAGTGGCCTTTGTAGAGGGGTCATTCAAAAGAACTGAAGCTCTGGGCCGGGGGCTTGGTGCATCTCGGTCTCCTCCCCTGCAAAGCAAGCACCTGGCAGGTTTAATGGTGAGATTTGCCACGGTTTCCTCCTCATCAGACTCCTCACAGACAGGGCCAGACCACAGATTGCTAGGACGGTTGGGACAAGTGGAGCCACTCCACGCTCGTTCCTGCTTTGCCCGGAACAACTCACAGACTTGACAGAGGGGTTACCTGTACTCCGACTTCACAAGCCTGCAAGCTCCGGTGCAGACAGTCTGGGGGTTACATGGACAGTATGCCTCCATAGGATCTCTCCAGGGGGCATATGTGTACAGCTTCAGTGAAGTTCTTTTTTTTTTTTAATCATTTTATTGGGGGCTCATACAACTCTTATCACAATCCATCCATCCATCCATTGTGTAAAGCACATTTGTACATTCTTTGCCCTTATCCTTCTCAAAACATTTGCTCTCCACTTAAACCCCTGGCATCAGCTCCTTATTTCCCCCCTCCCTCCCTGCTCCCCCCTCCCTCATGAACCCTTGATAATTTATAAATTATTATTTTGTCATATCTTACACCGTCTGACGTCTCCCTTCAGTGAAGTTCTTTCAAACCCAAGAGCACAGTGGTTTCTGTTCATAGAATACAGTCTTTGGATGGAACACTTTATTTCTGAGTCTTACAGGGCACTTTATGCTGTGAAGTACCTGCAACCGCTGTTCTAAACCAGGGGTGTCAAACTGGTGGCCCATGGGCCGCATGTAGCCTCCAAGTTAATTTTTTGTGGCCCATGATGCTCCGAAATAAAATGCAAATAGAAAAAATTGTTATGAAGAAAATAGCGCTTAGGGGAGATCAAGGCAATACCATACACATAATTCCCTCTTTAACACTTTAACCACCGAAGACGAGTGTACACGCAGCCCAGTGCCTTTCCTGGGGGCCGTGGACGTGTATAAACGCACTGGCTCAGTTCCGGCGACATTTGGAAGCGGTATGTCTGCCACTCTCGGTGTCACGTAATGTTAACAGATCCCAGTAGCGAAAAGGTTAAAAAGCACTTTGGGTTGTGCTGTTAGGAATCATACCTCGTGGCAGCGCTAGTTAGCATTTTTAGAGGGAAGTCATTATGATTGTGCATCACGTTTGTCAGCTGTCCAACATTTTGTATGTTTTATTAGTTACTTTGTTATATTTTCCGGTCACAACATAAGAGGTAAGTGAAAACTAGTAGGAAGAAAGTGCTGGTAAGTTTCGGGTAAAAAAGAATAATTTTAGTTTTATAAATACATTAAATAAAATATATGTTTAAATAAAAGCAGTTACATAGTGTTTTAATTATCCTATCCATATTCCTGGATCCTCACTCCAAAATGTAAAGTTAAAATGTGTCAGTGTGATGTGGCCCGCGTGGAACTTGCCTGTTGCACCAAATGGCCCGCGTTTTCATTGAGTTTGACAGCCCTGCTATAAACTAAAACAAAGCACAGCTCCCTGAAAACCATCTTCAGCAATCCTGAAGGAACGCCAGGGGAAAAGCCGGGCCTCAAAAGACATCCTGTGTGTTGAAGGCCCTTCTCCCGGCTCGCTAGTCTAGATTTGAAGCCCCCCTTTTCAGCAAGTGAATCATACTAAGCTTTTTTTTTCTTCTCCATACTAAGCTTTATTAAATTTGAGTGAACCGACTTTTCCAAATCAAGTCAAGCTCTTAGCTTTCTGGATTCAGGTGCCTTCTTACATACACAGGTGCAACCCAGGCTTTCCTCTTTAATCCAACAGTAACAAGCATCTGTTGAAAGTCAGCTCCACGCCTGGGCCGCTGCTGGATTCTTCCGGGGCATAAGGAATACCGGGTGCTCCCGGCACCAAGGGCCTGGGTACTGCCCTGCCTCTCTGGCATGCACCAGCTGTCCGAAGTGGAATAGTTGGTGTGTACCCATTTGAGAGTCTTTTGTGGCTCGGAAACTCAGAGTGGCCGGTCCACCCTGTCCTAGAGGGCGGTAAGGGTCGCTGTGAGTCGGCATCAACTCGATGGCAGTGAGTTTGGTTTTTATGTGGCCCAAATGGTTGAGCATTCAACCGCTAGTGGAAAGATTGACAGTTCAAACCCACCAAGAGGTCCAGGCCTGGCAATCCACCTTCCGGAAGTCCACAGGCCTGGAAATCCTACTCAGGTGTTCAGCTTTGCCCCCATGGTATAACCACGAGTCAGAGTCCACACCACGGCTACTAGACAATGCGGCACCCACCGAGTTCAATGTGAAGGAGCCCTCTGCCGTGGAATAAGTCACTGGTAACGTTTTTACTTCTTTAGGGCTCTGGAACTGCAGCCGTTCTCAATCAAGCCTCTTCTGCGAAGAGCAATGGCCTATGAAACTTTAGAGCGGTATCGGCAAGCCTATGTGGACTACAAAACGGTGTTGCAAATCGACTGTGGAATCCAGGTCGCAAATGACAGTATTAACAGGTAATCTCGCCTGACACAGTGATGGAGGTAGATTTTTTTTCCCTCACCCTCCTTCAAAAAGATGCCTGTGTGTCGTAGACATGTCTGTGCTCGCTTTCACGTGAGCGACTGCCTGCCTTTTTTCCACACCATTTCCACGTGCCACTCCCTCTGTAATGTAACTTCTGGTGATCCCTTAGTCCACTGGTTCTCAACCTTCCTAATGCCATGACCCTTTCATACAATACCTCAGGTGGTGGTGACCCACCCCCCCCAACCATAAAATGATTTTCCTTGCTACTTCATCATTGTCATTTTGCTACTGTGATGAGTTGGGGGACCCCTGTGAAAGGGTCGTTTGACCCCCAGGTTGAGAACCGCTGCCTCAGTACATGTTGAATTGTTCTCACGCCGCTTTAACTTGTTTGCTCTCTGGAGGGTTCATTTCCATTCAGTGGAGTGATCTTGTGTTGGCCTCACCCCAATGTAGCTGAGGGGCCCGGATGGTGAAGTGGGCCACGCCTCGGGCTGCTGACCAGGAAATCAGTAGTTCAAAACCAGCAGCCTCTCTGAGAGAGAAAGATGAGACTTTTTGGTCCTCTCAAGAGCTGTAGTCACAGTCTTAGCGGGTAAGTCGGAATCTTCCTGATGGCAGCGCGTTTGAAGTGTAGCTTGTATCTGGTGCTCAGAACACACATGTTTACTTTAGTGTTTGTAACTATCTGTGGAATCAGGAAGGTTTATTCTTCCATTGATGCCATAAATCAGCATTAATTGCAGCATTAGATCCAAAAATGTAAACTTCCTTTCTGAATCGTTGCAGGTGTTCACTGGTACTGCGTCAGCCTGCGGAAGCGCCTCTGTCTCCCTCAGGAGCGGCTGCTCTTCCTGTGCTCTCCTGAGTAGGCTCTGCTGGGATGGGTGTGGGTTTAGAAAGTTGAAATAGCAGGGAATTTGGATCCATTAGATACAGTGACCTGTTTACCCTCTGAGTGACAATGGGAAGGCAGGAATTTCCAGACTTCAGAATTTCTGGTCAGGTGACACTTGGAAACTACTAGATGGATTCCCTTTCTGGTTCTGCCTATTACTGCCTGCTTGCATTTGGCCCAGGGCATGTCCTCAGCTGTCTATGTGCTATATATACTGTGGTCCACTCCCCCCACCTCCCAGAAAAAAAGACAAAAGGGGGAAAAAAGCATGCATGGTCTCTGTGGTAACTAAATCTGGAAACTGAGCACAAGACAGATTTCCCCCAAGTGTGAGATGTTAGACAGTGAGGTGAGTCACAGACGGGTCAGGCTACCTGTGCCTGTAACCTGTCCTCGCAGAGATGGGATTCTCACATTGAATTGGCATTTCAGTTCAAGAAACTGGGGGACGGTTGTGTGTCAGGTTTGTATGGGCTGTCATTGTGTACAGCCTCAACACTGGGGTGATGGGACTTGGACTGCCTCTGAGAGTAGTCAGTTTGATTTCGTTGGTCTTGCAGTTGTCGTAGACTACAATATTCCATTCCTTCATCTGGGAACATAGGTGGAGTCTTTTAGAGATGGGGAAAATACAGGGTAAGATCGTAACAACCACATGTAAATGGTTTAGCAAAAGGCAACATCAGCTGCAGGGCAGCTAAGCCTCCTCAGCTAACTTGGTCAGTCTTGTACATTTATTCTCAAGGTCTGTGATCCATTCAATACTTGTATTACATATTTGGGGGAGAGAGCATTTCTTTTAGGGTTCCTAAATTTTAGTTTCATATTTCACGTTTTCAAAAGTTTAAGACGTTATGATAGATACATAATTTCTCAACTTCAGAAATAGTCTTAATTTTTGTCTTTTAACTAAAAATAAAATGGCCTGAAGTTTCCTCGTGTGTGGCAACTTTTGGAATCTTTTAATGTATGTGCAGCTGCTCAGGACTATATATTTTCTACGAGGATGTACACGTTTGCAAAGCATTCATGAATCTCACCCTGGATATTGATTGACCTTCAATGAGATATCTAAAGCTGGGCTTGCATGATCAGTAACGGAAATTCCTTTTCTTGTTTAGAATTACAAGACTTTTAATGGATCTGGATGGACTAACTTGGCGAGAGAAGCTGCCACCCATCCCAACAGTGCCCACTTCTATGCAGGTGCGGGCATGGCACCCTGCAGCAGAGAAATCCTTGGCCAAAGAGGGTGATGCCAGCAGCCTTCACCAGCCAGGCGTCCCAGGTAACGAAGCCCGAGCTCGTTTCTTCTGCAGGCTCGTGTGTGTGTGTGTGTGTGTGTGTGTGTGTGTGTGTGTGTGTGTGTGGTGTAAAGGAGGATTAGAACATCAAGTCTTGTTATCAGACTTGTGCTGCACTTCCTCTTCCCCTTCTCTTAGTACACAGTCTTTATCCCCGCCCCCCCCCTGGAGACCATGGTTTATTTTTGGTAAATGCCATTAGTAATGTACACAGCTTTACCCCCGAAGCTCACTCTGCAACACTTGAGTCTTAGAAACAGGTGACAATTGGAGGAAGAAAAAGAAAATCACTCATTTTCAATCCTTTAATAATGAATGTTCTCTTCCTTTGAGGCTCTCTGACCTTGGGGTATCTGTCGCTTTCCGTCGCAGGACGGATAACAGGGCTAAGCCCATAGGGAAACTCAGGAAGTTCAGATGCTTCCTCACTCCTGTGTGCAGGGCTTGTTTTCTTGATAACAGGCACTTGTTCTGCTTGGAATAAACCAGATACCACGTGGCCGTCCAGTTGCGTGGGGCGCGTGGGGAAGCGAGTGTGCAGTCTTAAGAAGTTGCTTCGCATCTCCAGTGCTCTCTGTACCCGGCAGGGAGGAAATACCAAGAACCATCTCCTGGGATTGCCGTCAGGGATCAGCGGAGATAAAGTTTGTAAAATACTTAGCTCTTCCGGTGGCCTTGTAAACCCAGTAACCAGTTGTTGCCAGGCCAACTCCAATTCACGGCCACCACGGTGTCTTAGAATCGAACTTTGTTCCAGAGGGTTTTCAGAGACTGAGTTTTTTTGGAAGTCTTATCACCTGGGCTTTTTTTTTAAGGCATTTCCGGTTGAACTTGAACTGCCAACTTAAGATAGCAGGGTTATGAGGAGGCTAACAAATGGAATGAAAAGATAATGGAATTCTGCTCTAAGCATTTTGAAGCCCCCTTACATTAGAATAAGAAGTAATACGATTGATGTGCTTAAAATACACACATAAACACACACACATATACACAAACAAATTTGTACTAGGAACCTCCTACTCTATATCCTTGTTTATCTCTGTTCCCACAGTGCCTGCCTTACTACTTTATGCATAGTTATGTGTCTTAAGAACTCTTGTTTTGTGAGCTGTACGACCAGGGAGGCCTTGTTTCTTTCTCTCCCTGGTTTCTTCAGCAACATCTCAAGTTAGACTCCCTCCAGAAGAGTCCCCATGGCTCCTGAGCCATGATACCCAAATGGCTAATGTTAGACCCTCATCCCCCTCTTGCCTTAGAAAAAGGAGGCATGCAACATCTGCCAGTGCCTTTGGGTGATAACAACACGACACCTGGCAGTACAGTGACTTACACATTGGGCTGCTGACCATGAGCTCAGTAGTTTGAAACCACCAGCTGTTCCCAGGGAGAAAGACAAGACTTTCTACTCCCCAAAAGAGTTGCCCTCTTGGAAACCCACAATAGCAGTTCTCCCCTGTCCTATAGGATCACTGTGAGTCAGATTGAACTTGATGGCAAGGAGAGGCCCATCATGACAATCTCTGGTTTCGAGAGTCCACTATGAGTGGGGCTCAAAGTATTTCCTTAATTCAGGGTCACTGTTTTATTGTTAAGCATGTTATATCCATGCCATAGATATGTGATAGAAAAATCAGAAGCACACATATTAGCAGCTCTTTTTGACATTTTTTCTGTTTCTATTTGCTTGCTAATTATTGGTGAGAGTGGATACTAAACTCACTACTCTCCAGTTGATTCTAACTCAGTGATCTTGTGGGACAGCGTAGAACTGTCCCAGAGAGTGGGGGATTTAACTGTGAACCGGGTGAAGGTTTACAGAGCAAAGCAGTTTTCCATCTAGCAGTTTACACGTACTTTGTAACAGCAGCTGCAGCAGCACCCTCTCTGCTTCCCTGTATCCACTCACCCTTCTGTCCTGCCCCTGGCTGCCCTCGAGCTTGGTTGGGTGCAGATTCTGCCCTTTGGTCTCATGTGGTTACTTGTTCGGAGGAACACGTTCCTCCTGAGAGTGACTGTTCACCTTCTAAGCCTGTCTGTCGTTTGAGTAAAGGGTGGTTCCTGGGTGTTTGAACCCCAGGTCTGGAGAGTCGAAGGGCTCGGTTCTCGACCAGTCTCTTACCAGTCTGGTCTCTTTTTAAAAATTAATTTTTCCCCCTGGTCTGTTTATGATTCTGCATTTGTTCTGCATTTTTCTCTCAGTCAGTCAAGACCTTCTGTTGTCCTGGTTAGAATTGTTGATCATGGTAGCTGGGCATCTTCTACTACAGTGCTTCTTGACCTTCCTGAGGCTGCCACCCTTTCATACAGTTCCTCATGTGATGGTGACCCCAATCATCAAATTATTTTTGTTGCTACTTCATCACTGTCATTTTGCTACTGTGATGAATCGGGTGACTCCTGGGAAAGGGCTGTTCGACCCCCAAAGGGGTCGCGACCCACAGGTGGAGAACCGCTGGGCTAGTTCTTGCCTTACTGTACTGGAGGTTGTGGCTTGCGTGGCTTGTTAGTCCCTTGGACTAATGTCCTCCCTTGAATCTCTGATTTCTTCTCACTCTTGGATGGCCACTCACTAGCTTTTAAGACCCCCGACGCTACTCACCGCAGGAGAAGGCTGAGCCTTTGCGGCTGTGTTGGGCCAGTTGACTTTATCTGGCCCCTGAGAATGGTGCTCCTGAGCCCCCCTGCCCAGTGACTCAAGTGTTTTCATCACTTTGGCCCCTGTTTGCTTTCGTCTTATATATACGTGGATGTATTTACAGCACATATCTGTACACATGCCAAACCAACATATGGTCATGGGTGTAGTCCATTTCATCTATCCAAACCTGTTTAGCTTGATATCCTTCTCTACATCTGCTTGTAGATTGTTACTACTGGTCCTGCAAGACTGTGTATGTAATCATATTTCTCTTTGTCGCCTGCGGCGCTTTAGCATCTCTCAGTATCTCCCTTTGCCTCGGTGATGGTGTGCTGATAGTATGCAGCCTTTCCTTTCTCCCAAATGGTGACAGGTCCCCCATCTAGTTAGAGATTTCCTCTCCTCTTCTTCTCCAGCCCTGTGGATAAACCTTTCTTTGACTTTTTACAATGGTGGGCTCAATAATGGTTTGTCCTTTGGTGATGGACAGGTGTCACTCGGGGTCATGCCCTCCAGGCTCTACCATGTTATGAAGTGCCTATTTGTCAGGTCACCCGTCCCTGTACCATCGTGAGGAACGCTGTGGAGAATGGAGGTATACAAGCCGGCTCACGTTCCAACTCTGATTTCTCTAGGGCAGCAGTTCTCCGCCTTCCTCATGCTGCGACCCTTTCGTACAGCTCCTCGTATAGTGACCCCCCCAGCCATCACATTATTTTCGTTGCTACTTAATCACTGTCATTTTGCTACTGTTAAGAATCGTTTGGCCACCAATGGGGTCGCGACCCACAGGTTGAGAACGGCTGCTCTAGGGTATGTACCCAGAAGTGGCAGAGCCAGAACAAGTGGTATTTCTATTTCCGGTTTTTTAATGAAGTGCCGTACCACTTTCCACAGTGGTTGGACCATTTTGCAGTCCTGCCAGTAGTGTCTGGGAACCGAGATCTGTCTTTTGAGCTTTGGTGTTAGGCTGGTGGTGAGAGAGAGGATGCCTCATTGTGTTTGGGGTTTTGCATCTCTCTAATGGCTAATGCTCATGAGCATTTCTTCATGTGCTGGTTGGCCTCCTGAATGTTTTTGGTGACGCGTCTGTTCATGTCCATTTTAAAATTGGTTTGTCTTTGTATTGTCGAGGTGTTAAAGTTGTGTCGAAATTTTGAAGATTACTTCCTTGTTAGATATGCCATTGCCAAAAAGGTTCTCCACCAGTTTGTAGGTTTGCTCTCACTTTACTGGAGAAGTCTTTTGAGGTGTGTAAGTGCTTGCTTTTAGGGGCTCCCCGCTGTCTGGTTTGTCATCTGCTGCTTGTGCACTCTTGGTTAATTTAATCATGTATTTGTCCCTACTTTTTATTTGATCATCTTTTCACTTTTAAGTTTTTTTTTCAGGTCTTCTGATCCATCTTGAGTTAGTTTGTATAAGGTGCGAGGTATGGATCTTATTTCATTTTCCTGCAAATGGATATCCAGTTTTGCCAGCACCTTTGGAAAAGGGATTATCTTTTCCCCAACGAATGGATTTTGGCCCTTTGTGAAAGATCAGCTGTCCATAGTTGGATGGATTTATTTCTAGGTTCTCAATTCAGTTCCATTTGTCTGTGAGTCTGTCATTGTACCAGACTCTTTTGACAACCATGGCTGTATAGTAGGTTTTGAGATTTGGAAGTGTGTGGTCTGCTTTATTCTTGTTCATTAGCCCTTTTCTTCTCTGTGGTCTTTTATCTTCCTGTATTTAGTGTTGTGACTTATTTGATAGCGTTATCCTAGCCATGAACTTTGTAACTCTTATTAAATGATTGGGTAGGCCCATACAGATTGGCATATTTACTCTTTTCCTGGTGGGTCTGACGAGGAAAAGGCAGGAGCATGGGTGTGTGTGGGGGGGTGCTGATAGAATTAGATAGCTCCCTAGTGAGTGATGGCGAACAGGGTTGATTTTTGACTGTTCAGACTTGCAGCTCTAACCTGGAATTGGCCAGTTTGCCATCCTGCTGTGTATAAAAGCTGTCACTGCACAAACAGGAAGTGGGGATCTTGTTACCATCAGAAATGAAGATCCAGGACCGGAGTGATCCCTGCACATTGACTTTCCTCAGTCTAGGCACAGGAAGCTTTCATACCACAGTTGCCGCAGAGGAACAGCAGCAGCAGAACTAAGAGCCAGAGCATGAGACGCAAGTAGTGATGTGCTCTGGGCAGGAGACTTCTTACAGAGTGAGCCGCCTTCAGGCCCATTGTAGGAGAACTAGGCTGGTTGACTCACCTAGCTAGAGCTGACTGAGACTCTTTGGGCAGAAACTTCCGGCAGAATGGTGTGCCTTTTGGAGCTTTAGCAGCAGCACTAAAAGAACTTTGAAACATTGCTCGAACCAAAGGCCATTGTAACTGAGAGGCCAAAGACCAGAGAGCTGCCTACCTGTGCTGAGAAGAGGCTAGCCTGACTGGAAGAACTGTGTCCTGAGCACTTCTGATCCTGAATCAATAATTTTGCTAATTTCCACAATAAACCCCATACCCGTGAGGGTGGTCTATGAGTTCTGAGTGCCCATTGCAATTGATTGTTGACTCTAGCTGAGGATTTGTGAGTGTTGCTGGAGTGCGATTGGTGTCAAAATTGGTGGGGGGTGGAGGCGTGCCTGCCCTCAGCCTCTCAGGGATCCGCCGGGGCTGTTGATGCTGGTGAGGGTGCTTCTCTTTTCCTACGTGTGTCAGTCTGGGTCCTTTAGAGACACATCCACAGAAGCTCACGTATAAGACAGAGTTTTATGTAAAGGGTAAGTGCGCATCAAGAAAACATCCCAACCCAGTGCTGCCCAGGCTCACAAGTCCAACATTAACCCATTAACCCGTTTGTCCAACACCAGTCCACAAAGTCCCCCTCCATCTCACAAAACAGACACAACGATGCCGACTGCAGGAAGAAAGCCAAGTCAGTGAGTGTGTAAGCATCTCAGCACTGGCAGGGGTCTCCACACCGCTGCTCCAGCACCCAGGGCTGCATCGGGATAGGTCCATATGGCTTCTCCTTGGAGATGTCTTGCAGGAAGTCAGCCTTGCCAACTGAAGCAGGGAACTGCTGAGGCAGCTGCACCCTGGTCCGACCCTCACAAAGCAAGAGACCCGAGAACTCAAAAGGCGAGACTCACCGAGCCATTTATCCCTCCGCCCTTCAATTAATCCCACATGTTGAGTTTATGGGCCAGGTTGGCACAATAAATTAACTCACTGCCTGACACCTCAAAGGAGGGCAGACACAATTTTCATACAGGTGAAGTTGTGGACTGTTTTTTTGGTTTTTTTCCTTGTTAAAAAAAAGTGTGTGTATGTGTATTTTTAATATGACATTGGACTCTATTGGCAAAGATTTGATGAAGAATTTTTGCATATGCTCATGAAGGATGTTAGTCTAATTTTCTTTCTTAGTGTTGCCTGCGTAGCTTTGGCATCAAGTACTACTTGCTTCATAAAATGAATTTGGGAGTATTCCATCTTTTTCTTTGTTCTGGAATAACTTGAGTAGACTGGTGCTCAGCCTTTTCCCTTAATGTGTGGTAGAATTCTCCAGAGGAGATGTCTGGGCTAGGATTTTTGTTTTGTTTCATGTTAGGGTTTTTTTTTGATGACCCATTTAATTTTTGTGGGTGTGGATGAGTGGTGTCTGTCTAAATTATCTGCCTCAGTCTGTGTTAGTTTAGGTAGTTTGTGTGTGTTAGAAATTGCCCTTTTGGGGCTAGGTTTTTAAATTAGCTGGAGTATTCCTCATTGTACTCTATCATTATACTTGGTATTTTTGTTACTTCTGTTGTGATGCATCCTTCCTTATCTGTATTAATTTGCAACTTCTCTTTTTTTCCCCTTTGGTTTGCTGGTGGGTTGTCAACTGTATTAATCTTTTTAAAGAACCAACTTCTAGTTTTATTTATTTCAGTTTTCATTTCATTTATTTCTGCTGTAATCTTGATGATTTGCTTTCTTGATACACTAGGCTTTTAAAATATACATACATATATTATGGTTTGGATGGACTCTAGACCTCTTTGGAGTTCCTGGGTTAAAATATTGATTTTGAGGCTTATGTTCTGATGCGTATGTGTGTGTGTGTGTGTGTGTGTGTGTTTTACTACTGTAAATTGACCTCAGAGTACTGTGTTTACTGTGCCTCAGCGTTTTGATATTCCACAGGGCTTCCAAGGTGTACATCCTTATGGAGGCAAACTACCACATCTGTCCCCCTCAGAATGGCTAGTGGGTTCAAACCACCAGTCTTTTGGTTAGCAGCTGAGTGTTTTAACCACTGTTTCACTAAGGCTCATTTAACTGGAACCAGAGGTGATAGATAGATAGATAGATACATGCGTACATATACAAACAAACAACAGTTTGAGGAAATCTTTACAGCACATTTGGGCAAGGGGGGAGTGAACAGGGGTGGGGGGAATCTTCTGCACTGCTCTATTTTTTGGTTTATACACCAGGATTCTATAAGAGAAGTCTCACTGGAAAACCGTTGTGTGAGGTTTTCTGAAACATGAAACACTATGCAGAAATCTGTGCTTTCTAACATAAGATGAATGAGCTGAGCAGTGACTAACACAACTTTTGTGTAGAGGGAGAAGTCAGAGTGTTGTTAGCCGTCCAAGTTCAGACTGCTATAAATGTAGCAGTCTCTCAAGATTAGGAGGCGCCCGCATGGTACAGTAGTTAAGTGTTTAGCTGATAACTGAAAGGTTAGCGACTCAAACCCACCGGCCGGTCCCTGGGACAGAGACTTGGCACTCTGCGTCTGTGACTGCTACAGCCTGGGAGTCCCTCCTGGGCAGTTCTGCCCTGTCCTGTGGGGTCACTGTGAGTCGTAACATGCGCAAATGCAATGATAGAGGTTTCAGAAGACTTCCTAGAATGCAGGATTTCAAAGCTGTCTTAAACTTTCAAGTTTTGGATTGTATTATGCACCAAGGATAAAGTCATTGCACAGATTTAAAACTTTAAATTTAAGTACTGTGTTAGAAACCGTTGGTTGGAATTGACAGAAATCTGTGGACTTACGTTGTAGGTGAAGGTATTGCCTCGTGTAACTGAAGGAGGGCAGGCACTGAGTAAGTTCAGGCTCTTCAGGGCCACGGCATTTCTGGACTGCACAGCGACACGTCCTCAAAGGGAGAGAGACGTGATTGCTTTTACTGGCATGGGCGAAATGGGTTGCCCGTAAGCCCCAAGCTTTCTTGCCTGAATTGGGCTGTGGGCTTATTCCTGAGACGATGAATACATACCAGGTGCTATGAGTAGCTTAGGTCTGGGTTCCTTATCTGATGAGAGGTCGGCTTCTCTTGAACACCAAAAAAATCCCAACAAAAACCAAACTCCCTGCCATGGAGCCATTCTGACTCACGGCGACCCTGTAAGACAGAGTAGATCTGCCCCTGTGCACTTCTGCGACTGCAGTTTTGTACAGGAGTAGAAAGCCCTGTCTCCCCCCTATCTCCCCCCCTCGCTCCCCCACTCCCCACCAAGGTGGTTTTGAACTGCCCCGCATGTGACTGCCTCTCCTGAACACAGGGAAGAGGAAACTGGATTCCGAGCTAGCCAGGCTCCCTGTAAAAGAAAGCGTGTGAAAATCTAAACCTGAAGACTTGGGACCCACAGCTGCAGTTAACAGAAAACCCACCTCCAAAGCTTACGCAAATACGGATGTTGGTTGGTGCATGTTGTGGAGGTATCCAGAGTTGGAAAAGCAGCCTGCCTGACTGGACCCCCGGCTCAGAGACGCTTGGCCTCTGTCCCTGCCCCCAGAAGGCCAGCAGACAAGAAGGCCCCCAGTCCGGCTAACATGATAGCACTTTCTTGAACTTTACTTTCTAACTTGAAAATAATATAATTGCATACCCATTTTTCACTTATGGCTATTTGCTATTATTAACTCATAACGTTTGACTTTAGCTCTGCACATGATTATAGTTGAGTCAGTTTGCAGTAAAGAATTTACTTAGATATATTTAAGATTCTGTAGAGATGGTGGGATGAATATTTTTTTTCTCTCGCACTAATTTATTTTGGTCCCACAGATGAAGAAAAGTTCAGAATCCTGAAGGAAGCAGGAAATCAGTGTGTGAAGGACCAGAACTACAGAGAGGCCCTGAGTAAATACAGCGAATGCTTAAAGATTAACAACAAGGAATGTGCCATATATACAAACAGGCAAGTCTCTCCACTTCATCCATTTCTTACTCTGATATTTTTCATTTGCAAAAAATAGAAGTGTTCATTTCCAAGGCTCCATTTTCATGGTGCTGGGATTTATATAGCAAATTGTGCTAAAGAAGTGTTTTTCAAAGAGTTAGGGCCATAGACATTCTGGGGAGATGGGGCAAAGGAGGTGAGGGAGGCCCTGGAGGGCTGGTGGCTCTGTGCTAGCTGCTGTGCTCGCTTTGCTGGTCCCAGTCCGCCTGGGCAGTCCGGTGGGCCTTGCTTCTGTGGGCCTTGCCCGGCATGGGCGGAGGAGGAACTAACTGCCTTTCAAATGAGTGTGTTAGGGAGCAGTGCCTTCTCCTTCTCAAGCACTGGGGGAGGGACCCGCATTTCGAACGGGCAGATGTTGTAGAGTGCACTCAGAAGCCGTATGGACTGCATAGTAATAGATGTCTGCCTGGACTGTGGTGATTTGAGGGGGGCTGGCTAGAATCTGCATTCACAAGGAGGAATATGGGATCGTCCGTAAAGGAACTCGCAACAAGAGGTTTCCTAGAACTGCAGATGAATTCTTTTTAGTGCGGGCTCTTACTTACCACTTTGTTTCTGTACATGTTCTGCCCTGTGGGCAATCTTGTTGCCAAAGAGGTTTTATTGTCACTGAAGCCAGCAGATCTTTTTTGCCCCTCCCGTCCCTGTGTAACTGCAGCATCGGCATTACTGGCCGCCGGTTTTCCCGAAGTCCCGTCTGCCCTGGCAGCTGAGGCAGGCGGCGCCCTTGCCAGTGGCTACTCTGCACCCTCCGCAGGCTGACATTCCCTGGTAGCCTGGAGCCTCTCAAGTCTGGGTTCCTTCTTATTGTCCACACTCTGCTGGTCACGTCATCCTCTTCCCAGTCTCTCCCCTGAGCTCCGGGCCTGGGCCCTCCCCTGCTTCCTCACTCACTACTGCATAGTGTCATTTTCCCCCTGGCCACCTCCTTTCAGCCAGTCAACAAGCCCTGGTGGTCCTACCTTCCAAATGTCTCAGCAGTGGGACACTTTCCATCCCTACCGGCCTCTCCCGTGCTCTGGGCCACGCCTGGCTCTTCCCAATGCCTAATGCTGTACACACACACACACACACACACACACACACACACACACGTGGCAAACATGTTGGTCCCTGTTTTAGAACCCTTCAGTTTGACTGCTGCGAGGCTCTGGATAAAGGCCAGCCTCCTTGCTGGTATTGACACGGCCCTGCCCGGCTGCCCTGCACCCACTCCCAGTCTTGTTCCCTGCTCTCTGCCCATGGGGCCTGTCTCAGCTCCCTGAGTGTGTCTTGGTCCCCGCCCCCCCCCCCTGCCCTCCCTATACACACACACTGCAGGCTTTTGCTTGGGAGAACCCTGGGCCTCCACTCGCTACTCCTACATCTTCACCCCCTCGAGCCAGCTCCTGGACATTGGCTACTTCTTGCTTCTTTCTTTGGGTTTCACCTTAATTGTCACTTCTTCCATAACTGCCCCTCGCACCTCGGGTCCACCCCCCAATCTGATTAGGTTATCAGCTGCTTGCTCCTCTTGTCTTTGCCCTTTCTGATGGTCCCCTCCTCTCCACTGCCTCCTCTTGGATGAATGCTATTTTATTTGCAGTCTGTCCCCAGCACCGGCATTCCGTGCATTGCAAGAAAGTGGCACTCCGGGAGTAAAATAGCATGTTTCCCTGGGGACTGCTGTGGTACAGGAACAGATGTAGCAGGCTGTTATTTATTGTCCGGTTTTTATTAGTTGTCGAAATACACAAACAGGCTGCCTTTACTGCTGGTAATTCTGGGCCCCCTTGCATTCTGCCAGAGCGTTGTGCTACTTGAAGTTGTGCATGTTTGAAGAGGCCAGGCAGGACTGCGACCTGGCACTGCAGATTGACGGCGGGAGCGTGAAGGCCTGCTACCGACGAGCTCTGGCCCATAAAGGACTCAAGGTGAGATGCTCTTCATCTTCCTGCCATCTCCGCTCGGCACCCTCCGTGGTTTCCAGGATGGAAGATCTGTGCATCATGGGATAGAAGGGATGAACTTATCCTAGGATTTAACCCTGGTACTGTACAGCCCTATGAGTAGACCCAGATGTTAGCCCTAACTTTGCTGGGGGTTTGTTCCAGCTCAGAAATTAGAATTTCTTTTCTAATTGTGTAATTAAGAGACCCACTTTATGGGACAGCAACTTTGATTACTGGGGGTCACCAAAAATGCTCTGGGGTGCCTCCAGCAAGGACTGGAGGTGCAGCGTGGAGGGGGGCGTCAGAAGGGAAGAGGGATCATCCAATGGAAGTTGGTAGAAGCAGATGAGGCAGCTCCCGGGGAGCGGGGCCTCCCGCTGTCGTGGGTCAGTGTGAGCTGGTCCCTGGGCGCTCTACTCTGAGGAAACTCCACCCGGTTGGTTTAGAACTGAACATTGGAATCACCAGGGGATTTGGTGCAACGACTGATCTCTGGGCTTTATCTGCATCCTAACAGGACTGAGTCTCCAGGGGAAGGAGCCTAGGGATCTGTCCTTTCCCCAGATCCCCAGGTGATTCCAGTGATCAGCCGAGCTTGGGAAGCTAGGCTTTAGAAGAGAGAGACTTATCTTATTTGTAAACTTTTCTCAATGCTGATTTTCCTACGTGAAGATCCAGGTGAATTCCATGTGGTCACAGGACCCGGCCCCAAGTAAGAGAAGGAATGTTCCTGGTCCCGTTCTCCACTTCACCCCCCCCCACACCTCCCCCCCGCCCCCCGCCAGGCACTCTTTCTCCCCATACCCTCATCTCAAGCAGCCCTGGGGCTCATTTCTCTCACTGTGGATGCGTTTGGTTGCTCCCTGTTGTTACACGTTACATGTGGGTGTCTATAGAATACACCTTTGACCTCTTTTGCCCAGAATAACATCTGAGATTGGCAGTGTCGTATGTGTGCCGGGACTTTGTTCCTTTTATTGTGGTATCGTGGCTGCACGCAGTGTGTCAACACACTCACTTGGGTGATGCAGGGCTTCCCTCCAGAGTGAGGCTGTGGTGAGCCAAGCTGCTGAGACAGGTGTACACGTCTCCTGTGGCCTGTGCACACACAGTACAGCTGGAGCACAGGTCAGGTGGGCCTGGGGGCCTGTGAACTGCATTCTGAAAGGTGAGAGGAGCCCCCGGAGGGTGGGCAGGGGCGTTGTTGGGGACAGCATGGAAGGTGGAACAAGGAGAAGCCAGTGTGCATTTGGGAGGAAAGTGAGAGGCCGTCTCACCCCTTCCTCACTCTGGCTGCAAGGTGCGCATTCATGCACCACATTGAAGACTGCTCCGAGAACTCTTTGTTCACAGGACAGGAGGCTCCATGGAGTTCACACTGAACTCCTTTGAGCTTAGTGGACTGAGGCCAGTAAGGCAAAGAGCTAGATGACTCGGGACTTTAGATGAGGTCCCAACCCCCGGGCCGATCTTCTCCTCTTTGAACCTGTTCACCTGGTTAGAAGCCAGAAGCTGTCTCTAAGCAGAGACTGGAATTTCATACCTCCTTGGAATGAATTCTAGAAATTGTATTACAATGCAGAAAGACAATCCAAAATTTGAATAATCCTCTCCACTGGACTCTGAGTCTGGTAGCTTGTTTTTCTGGTTCCTCTACCAGCTGGGCGTATATGCCCGGCAGAGAGTGAATTTAATTCCGAGATCTCCAAATACCACCCCGCATGTACAGTGGGGCTTCAAGCAGTTGATGGAAAGAGGGGATTAAAAGAGATAAAGATACTTTTTTTTAAAATAGTAGTTTTATTGACATATCTTACACCTTTTAATATATCCATTCACATACAATTCTATTGTTCAGTCCCACCAGGTGGGGTTATACAATCATCAATGCTATCAACTCCCCATTCCCCCTCTCGCCCCTCACTTCTTGTGCCATCCGGGCACCACTGTCTCTGAGGGGCACGCTGTCTTGACTACCATGGACAGAGCCATCTTAACCATATCAGTGCACATACGCAAACGAAACATGATTCATGCGGTATAACACATAAAGACCTCAATAGTGAGGGAGGAAGTCCTAAAGAACTAGAGGAGGTTACTGGTGCATCAGTGCCACACCGCACCCTGGATTGCTCCATAATGCTACTTCCCGATGAACTTTGTGGAGCCCCCCACCCCCCCATCAGGTACAGCATTCCTCACCCATGGTCCCTCCGAGTGAACACAGTGAGGAAGTGACACAGGGGAGTGTAGGCGACCAGTTGTAGCTCTCGGGGTAGGGGGCGGGGAGCACTCTGCTTTCTCAGATCGCCACCCTCCAGCAGCTTTTAATAGTTCATTTGGACGGTTCTGAAAAAAAGGGACTTTACTAACATAGAGCTGTTCTTCACAAGAAAAGACAACTGGGCAAAAAGTGCCTTTATTTACGAAGCGTTTCTTTTGTTCAGTGTGGGCTGCCTGCCGGAAGGAGCGTGTCCAGGGGTGGGGTGGGGTGGGGTGGGGGTGGTGGGGGAGATGCTCCAAGGCATAAATACATCAGTAAATAAAGTCTTCTAAAAGGAGTCTACGACTGCAGTGTCAGGACATCTATTAAATAGGAGCCTTGGTGGTGTAGTGTTTGCTAATCACAAGGTCAGCTGTTCAAAACCAATAGCCATTTCTACTCCTGTAAAGAGTTACAGTCTCAAAAAACAAACAAACCGGGGGGCAGTTCTACCCTGTTCTGTGGGGCACTATGAGTCGGAATTGACTCGATGGCACTGTGCTTGGTATTTTATTATTAATAGTAAAATGCAGTCACAAATTTCTCAAGACATAGGTTCCCAAACTTATGGTCCCCTTTTCAGGGAAAAAAAAATTACTCTGCACCCTCCTGAAAAAACGTTTCTAATACAGCCCATAATCCAGGGTCAAGTGTACATGTCTGCGCGTGCAGCACCACCCTCCCATTCCAGCACCCCTCGGGGGCAGCATAGCCCATGTCGGGAATCACAGGTCTAAGATTGTCCTACGCACTCCCGCTTCTTTAAAAGGAAGCTGCTGCTGTTACGGTGAGATGCTGACTCATGGTGACCTCTGGGTACAACAGAGTGAAACCTTGCCCAGCTGGGCTCCCTTCTCATCATCACCACCTTTGAGGCCATGGCTGCAGCAAGGTGCCCGCCCACGTCCCTGAGCGTCACCCTCTTTCTCACCGACCCTCCCCTTTACCAAGCACGATGTCCTTCTTCAGGACTGGATCTTCCCAATACCATGTCCAAAGCACGTGAGACTCAGTCTCACCATCTTCACTTGTCTGAAGCATTCTGACTTTACTTCTTCTGAGACCAACTGGCTTGTACTTCTGGCAGTCCACGGTATTTCCCATCTTCGCCAACATCATGACTTCTCCAGTCTTCCTGTTCACTGTCATCCTTCGAGTGCCCACGAGGCCCTTGAAAATGCCATGACAACTTTGTTTTATAACACGTGAAAGAGGTCTTATGGGGTAGGTAGATTTGCCCAATCTGATAAGTCATTTGCCTTCCATATTGCTGCTTCCTTGGGCCTTTGGTGATGGATCCATTTGAAATGAAGCCCTTGGCCACTTCACTGTTGCCCCCCCGTCATGATGTTGCTGCGTATTGGTCCAGATGTGAGGGTTTGGGTTTTCTTTATGCTGCAGTGGGACCCAGGCTGAAGGCTGTAGTTTTCCTTGATCGATCTTCATCGGGAAGTGCTTCAAGTCCCCTTTGCCTTCCTGAAGCGAGACGGTGATGTCCGTGGATCGCTGGCCTTTCGCAGCCCTGACACTGCGTCCTTCGCCAGGTCGTCTGGCTCCTCGGGTGATTTGTTCAGCAAGCAGTTTGAGGGAGAGGTGACAACTCTGATGCTCCCCTTTCCTGATTTGTAAACCAGGCCGTGTCCCCCCGTTCTGTTCAAGCACCCGCCTCCTGGTCTAGGTACATACTGTCTGAGAGCACAGTTCAGCACCGCCCCTCAGCGCAGGAAGTAGGACAAATCACCGACCTGCGGTGGGACTAGGCTGTTAGCAACTGTGACAGCTCTCTCTGTGTTGATGCTCTGCTCCTCCCTGGTCTCTGCGTGGTGCGTGTCTTGGTGTCTCTGGCAACTTTCACAGAAGCCAACCCTTCCGCCTTCCACTCTCATCCGTGTCCATCTCAATCTTTGGTTGTCTTCATTGTCTAATGATTCATCTATTTGGGATTTACTAATTTGATTACTTGTCTTTTTACTGCCCCCCCCCCCCTTAGATGTAAGCTTCCAGGATGACAAGGGCCACACCTGTCCTGTGCCATGCTTTCAGGACCCCCAGGGGCCAGGTGCTTACAGTGCTCACCTGCTAGCCAGCAGGCTGGCGGTGGTAGCCGGGCACCCCCTCCTTTGGGGGGAGAGTTGTGTCAGTCTGCTTCTCTGAAGATTACAGCCTTGGAAACCCCCTGGGGCAGTCTCCCCTGCCCTGGGTGGTCCACTCGATGACAGTGGGTTTGGGTGGGTTTATTCGCAGTTCACAGCTCATGGTTGTACTCGATGGAGATTATTCAGGGAATGAGGCCTGACAGGCTGGGCCACCTCTGCCACCCTTCTCTTCATGCTGACCTCCTTTGGAATACTCCCCAAACTGTATGATCCTTCTCCCCTGGCTTCCCCTGTGGCAGGGCGCTCTCTCACATGAACACATCCTCCCCGTGGCTGTCAGACTCCCCCACCCTGGGCTGTAGGTCACAGATCTCAGCTTCCAGGCTTGTTACTCAGCTCTAACCTTCTCCTCGCTCGTCCCCTATCGACCCAAAGAGAACCTCGGTTCCCTCAGTGCCCCCCCCCCCCCCACCTTTCAGTGGTGGCAGTAAAAGGGAGTCTTTGTAGGGTGACTGTGAGTTTAGAATACCACTACTAGTAAAATGCTTGGGACAGTAAAAACTGGTTAGCTACTCACTCTTTTTGGCCCAGCTGCCCAGGGCTGTTCTCATGTGGTTTCCTGCTAGAACACTTAGACAAAAACACTGTGTCTTTTTGTGTGTGTATGGAATGCTTCATGAATTTGCACGTCATCCTTGTGCAAGAGCCCTGCTAATCTGCTCAGTGTCGTTCCAATTTCAAGTGTAGGTGCTGCGGAAATGAGCGCAAGCGTCATTTTGTTCCAGCAAGTTCTGACCGCGCCATGGTGCCACAGTGGGCCGTGGAGTCGCTCCAGAGTACGTGATGAGCTCTCCAATTTACCCTTCTCATCGCCTGCCTCTGGTGTGCTGCTGGGGTGAGGGCAGCTCCTCCCTCAGGAATGTCGCCCTTCACCACTAGCCTATCTTATCTGTGGTGGTCCCGTCAGTACCTCCTGCTGTTGATGGGTCAGGAATACTTGGAGGGGTTGCGCGTCATGGGGGCGCTTTGCCTCCTCACCAGATTCGAAATGCAGGTGTAGCCTGTGGTTCTAGAATAACACCTGCCGCACAGTGGGACTGTGCTTTGTGGTCTCTGTCTACCACCACACCCACTAACCACGGCCCCTTTGATCTCTGCCCCCTCTCCTTTCTCCTAACCTCTCTAGTGCATTGCCTGCCTGACTCTTGAATGGAAAGATAAATAGTGGCCGTATCCTATTTTGAATAGTATCTGACTTTGGAGGGTTTGATGGGAAAATAGTATTCTGGTACGAACAGCTGTGCAGCTCTGTGTAGGTTTGAAACCACTTGCATATTTATTGTCCACTTATGTCTCAGGACAGCCTTATAAAAACCAGAACAGGAAGCTTTCATTATCCGTAATTTAAAGATGAGAAAGCTCAAGCTCAGAAAGTTCAAGGAGCGTCTTGTTTGTGTTTCTTGGCTAGTGAGTGCTAGTCTGAACATAATCATCCTTCCTCTTATCCATTCAGCAAACAGTTAACATGGGTGGACTTGTCTGATGGACTGTGAAGGTCAAGGCACCGAACTGAACCCGAGTCTTACGGCTCTAGATTCTGTGCTGTTTGTTCACTGAGCTATGGGTGGGAGGGGGAGAGAATATTTTGGCTCTACACGCATTTATAATAGTGGTGGTGTTCAAATCAGCCTGCCTTTATAATGGTGGTGACCATGGGGCCCATAGCACACCTTTGCCTGCTTTGCCTCATTTCCTGCTCCCATGGGAGTGTCATCAATTCTCATTTTCCTTACACTAAGGATTTTTCTATTTTCCTTCCAGAATTATCAGAAAAGTGTCAGTGACCTCAATAAAGTTCTCCTGCTAGACCCAAGTGTTGTTGAGGCAAAGATGGAGCTGGAAGAAGTAACCCGATGCCTTCAGTGTAAGGACAACAAAGCCTCATTCAACAAAGAGAGGGAGAGAAGGAAAATTACGATTCAAGAGGTATTTCGATTTGATGACCTTTGAAAGAACTCCTTGTGGGGGGAGCCTGTCCTCAGAGGGGGTTCTGAGGTCCTATTTCCAGGAGCTTTGCAAAACTCAGGTTTTTGTTCTTAAGTTCACCGAAGAAGCTTTAACCAGTTCAAAGGGGAGTACTTCCCTGTGCCTCTCTCCCCTGGGACCCATGGGTGGTATTCGGAGTTTCCACGTCCTGGCCGATCTTCCCAGGTGTGCACCGCCCTTCTGGCCCACCATCCTGCGTGACTCGGATTGCCTCCCCTCCAGGGTCAACACTGAGAATTTGGTTCATTTGAGTGGTTTGTCAGGTGAAGGGAGGCCCTTGTGCATTCTGAAGCAAGACTCGTCTGTCTCAGAATGGCGCTGCCTGGGTTTAACATGCTCTTACTGAAGCTGCAACTCCCTCCTCTGGGAACATTCGTGAACGCCAGCATCGCCCCGCTTATTGTTTGAAGTTCCTACTAAGCGGCCGAGGCTCACTTGTGAGAGAAAGTAGCAAGCTTTATTGTTTTCCATCACCACCACCTCCCCCTGTCTCTCACTTTAACATGGGAAGAACTTTAAGAGAACTGAAAAATGTGGGCTCAGTTCTCTGTTAAATGTGAGGAAATAAGTAAATGTAAAATGCATCATGAAAAAACACTAGCTTTGTGTTGGCCTTTTTTTATTTTACCGAATAACTTTATTTGAGAAAAATGATAAAAGTAAGATTTTGCTGTCACTTAATATTCAAAGAGAAAGCAAACTTTAAGAAAGAACATTTTTTCTAAAGTTAAAATTCGTACACGGTAACGTTGACCTCTCCCTTGTTGTTGGGCACCAGTGAGTCGGTCAGGGCCCTGGTGACTGTGTGCACAGCAGCGGGGCCACTGCACAGTCCTGAGCCCATTGTTGCAGCCACCATGTCAGCCCAGCTCCTTGAGGGCCTCTGTTTTCTTCCTCCTCTCCTGAACCAAGCATGGTGTCCATCTCCAGGGCCGGTGTCCCCTGACAACATGTCCAAAGTTAGGTGTGACAAAACTTTGCTATCCTGGCCTCTGAGGAGCACGCTGGGCGTACTTCTCCCGAGACAGATCTGTTTGTCCTTGTAGCAGGCGGTGGGACTCCTGTGTTCATGCGTACTCATCAGTTGTCCTTGCTCCCTCACCGTGTGACTGCAGCATGAGGGACCTTGTGCTTGGACATCTCCTTGATGCTGCGGCTCCCATGTGGGCTGGGAAGGTGCCCAGGGTCACGGTGTGTTGCTTTGCTTTCTGCAGGTGAATGGCAACGGGAGAGAGGCGACCCAGAGGCCCTCACCCGAGGGCTCCATTGCCTGCCCTGCTTCTGAGAAGGGAGAAGTCCAAGGGCCACCAGAACCCCATGACAAGCTGCGGATTTGCAAGCCTAATAATGCCTATGAATTTGGCCAGCTTATGAGCGCGATAAATACCAGAAAAGACCCAGAAGCTTGTGCGGAGCTTCTAGCCTGCACCAAACCAGAAGATCTGCCTATGCTGCTGAGTAACAAGCTTGAAGGGGACATGTTCCTCCTGCTCATTCAGGCCCTGAAGCACAGTCTTGTTGACCAAGAGCCCTCCGTGATCTACCGGCATCTTTTCTACCTCAGTCAAGCAGAACGGTTTAAGGTCAGTAGTGGCAGTGTAAAACTGCTGCAACTTTAAAGTGTTCATTATTAATGTTTGTTAATTAAAATGTTAAATCACTCCTCCCCTTCTTGTAGATGATGCTGACACTAATTAGCAAGAGCCAAAAGGAGCAAATTGAACAGTTGTTCGATGACCTTTCAAACACCTCAGACAACCGGTTGGCTTTAGACGATTTACAGGCCCTCAAGAGGCAGTATGAGCTGTGACTTGGCCGGCTGGCTGGCTGGCCGACTGACTGACCACTACTTGCCTGCTTCTGTGCACACACTGTGTCCAGTCATGCCGCCATGGTGTGGTGAGGAAGTGGCCACAGACAGCCCCACTTGGAGAGAGCCCTTGGTCTTGGACTACAAGATATCTTAATTATTTTTATACCCAGAACACATATATTCTGTAATCTGCTTTTTATCCATTGTAAATATTTTCTTAATGTACCCGAGAGCTAGCATCTTTATATTTAATAATGAGTATATTTAGCACATATTCAAAGCGCATTTTAAGTTATGGTATACCTTTTATTTTAATAAGCTGTTACCTTAGTTAAATTGCATTTCCTTGGGCTATGAAGGCGTGCTCTTTGTTTTGACAGACACGCCAACGTCACTGATGATGACCTGTGTCTTCTGCTGAAACACCTCAATAATCCCACTTTATTGTACTGCTTGTGGATCAAAATCAGTTAAGAGAAAATCCCGACTAAAGTTACACTGTGGGCTGAATATTAAATAAATTGTGTTTTTTCACCTAGCGCTCTAAGAGGGACTCTTTTTATAACGAGGAAACATTGCCTTATAATAAAGACCAAAATTTGCCAATAATGTATGACCCTTTTCCTCATAGTTTTAAGAAGCTTATTCCTGTTTATATTGTCTATTGAAATAACAAAACAACTATAAAAGCAAAATTTAAATGCATCCCCCCCCCCCATCTGTTGTCTGCTTTAACTGTGAGCACATCTTGCTGTGAACAGGAGTGAAGAGCCCTTTCCATTGCCGCTTGCTGGTCCTGACTGCCAACTGGGCCAGAGCACAGGTATTTCTTGAAATAAACGTTCAGCTCTCAATCCATGTACTGTTGTTCATTCCAGAACTGTAGCTGGTTATCTCTCTGGAGAATTTTCTTTTTCATTTTCTTAGTAGAGATGAAAGATAAATATCACCTGCGTTCTTTCCATATTCATTTTGGTTTCGTTTAATCTTTTACAGTGACCAACTATCCACAACATCACCTCAGGCAAAGAATAAATTTCCCAAGGAGTTATTTTCCTTTTCCTCTCTTTCTTTTTTTTAAATTAAAACATTGTCTTATTGGGGGCTTTTACTGCTTCTATAACAATCCATACATCAATAGTATCAAGCATATTTGTTCATATGTTGCCATCATTTTCTACACATTTACTTTCTCTTGAACCCTTGGCATTAGCTCCTCATCCCCACCCTATAACCCCTTGATAAGTTACAAATTATTATTAATTTCATATCTTACAGCGACCACTGTCTCCCTTCCCCATGGTTTCTGTTGTTTGTCCCTCTTGTGGAGGTGGTGGTGGTCGTGGTGGTGATTATGTGCCCATCATTGCGATTTGTTCTCCCTTCCTCTTCCCACCTTCCTCCTACCCTCCAGGTATCGCCATACCTGTACCTTGATTCCATGTGTTGTTAGCTCTTATCTCTTATCTGTACCTGTGTACAGTCTAGCCCATAGTGAAAGGCAGGACTGGGGTCATGATAGTGGGGGGTGAGCAAGCCTCATGGAACCAGAGGAATATTGTGTGTTTCATCGGTGCTCTACTGTGCCCTGGTTGACTCATCCCTTGTGACCCTTCTGTGAGGGGATGTCCCATTGTTTACAGATGGGTTTTGGGTCTCTGCTCTGTCCCCCTCATTCTCAATGTTTGTTTTGGGTCTTCTGATACCTATTTTCTACTCCCAATGACACCTCATGATCACACAGGCTGGTGTATCTTCCATGTGGGCTTGTTGCTTCTCTGCTCTGCTAGATGGCCTCTTGTTTAATTTCAAGCCTTTAAGACCCCAGATGCTATATCTTTTGATAGCCGGGCATCATCCACTTTCTTTACCACATTTGCTTATACATTCATTTTGTCTTCAGTGATCATGCTGGGAGGGTGAGCACCGTAGACTTCCTGCTGCTGTGAAGATAGATTTATAGCCTCAAACCCTCAGGGGCAGGTCTGCTGTGCCCTATAGAATCGCGATGAGTTGGACTTGACTCAATGGCAGAGTTACTTGATTTGTATGGAGTCGAGGCTATTATCGAAGTTTATTGTCTGCTTCAGGTACCTCATAAGCGACATTTTAAGATGCAGGAGAAAGATAAAACATTAGGAAAGGAAGAGAAAAAGCAGAGCCTTAGGGCAATACCTGGCAGTTATTCACTGAGCAAAGCACCATCACAACTTTGTTTTACTTGTGAAATGACATTTTGCATGTATGTGGAAAGGCTGCCTAGCTCACCAAATACCGTCTAGAACAGCGGTTCTCAACCTGTGGGTCGCAACCCCATTGGGGGTCGAACTACCCTTTCACAGGGGTCACCTAAGACCATTGGAAAACACATATTTCCGATGGTCTTAGGATCTGAGACACCGCTCCTCTATCCGTCTCCAGGCGGGTCTACCCACATGCAGATACACCCACATACGCCTGTCATGAAGACTGTTACCCAGGCTACAAGACAAAATTTCATTTATTTGTCATCAGAAATATTTCACGATATATAATTACATATTGTTTTTGTGATGAATCACTATGCTTTCATTATGTTCAATTTGTAACAATGAAAATACATCCTGTATATCAGATATTTACATGACGATTCATAACAGTAGCAAAATTAAAGTTATGAAGTAGCAACGAAAGTAATTTTATGAAAAAAAAAATTTTATGGTTGGGGGTCACCACAACATGAGGAACTGTATGAAAGGGTCGTGGCATTTGGAAGGTTGAGAACCACTGCTCTAGAATTTCTGACTCACAGAGAAATCTCTAGGACAGAGTAGATTGGCTCCATGGTGTTTCCAAGGCTGGAAATCTTGAAGGAGATTCCATGGAAGGAAGCAGACCCTCAGCGTTCTCCTGTGGAGTGCCTGGTGGGCTCGAACTCTCAACCTTTATGGTTAGCAGTGCAACACAGCCCATCATGCCACCTGAGACTAATTGCTATTGCTGGTTCACAGACAATACCAAAGCTGTGAATAGACTGAGTCTAGGGTTCCCCATCTCCCAACTTCATGTTGGAGTCAACTGAATTCACGGCAGCCCTATCTGACAGCGTGCCTGTGCCCCATCTCGTTTCCTGGGCTGCCATTGGTGGGGGCACATTGCTGGAGTGCTAACCATTGTGCCCCCACCGTGACTCTGGGCTGTCACTGGCTTTTGCAGTGTTTTGCACTTATGTTTCCACGGCCCGCTACTGGGGGTCTCCCTTTCCCACCAAATTTGCTCTATCCCAGAGCCCATCCTTCTGTTTTCTCATCCTGGCGCCTGCGTCGGTACTCCGAATTCCAGTTCCTCTTCTTTCAAGACCCACCTCCCAAGAAGAGTCCGCCTCTTGCTCTGTCCCCTCTCTCTACTGTCTGCCAGCTCAGCCTTCAGCCCCGTTCAACGGCCACCTACAGGAAAGGCCCTCTTTGAACCATCCCTTCGTACACTGTCATGTCTGCAGAATAACTGTGTTCATTTTCTCCCCCTCCCGTTTATACCTTTTGTAAAGGAAAATGGGCTGTGGTCTCCCATGGCTAATGAAACTGCTCTCAACAATGTATTCAGATCCAGAAGCCTCTCTTAGTCATAGAACTGGGCTACGTATTGCCCAAAGTGTAACCCAGTTACATACTGTTTTTAGAGATCATCTTCACTAAAAAGCAACAACAAAACTCCTCTCCCCGCCATTGAAATCATTCTGACTCTCAGTGACCGGGAGACTGAAACCCTTTATGTAACTGTAACATCTATCTCTCACAGAGAGGCTTCAAACTGCTGACATTGCCATTAACAAGCCAAATATGTATCTATATACAATTCTTTTATTCACATGGAAGCCCACATACCAGCTCAAAATATTGTGCATCATGTAATGCAAAGACACCGGGACTAGATTGGTTGTCTTCCACCTTTTATTGCCTAAGATTTGTGCGCAAAGGAGGTGAAATTTGAAAGGTGAAGAGGCAAAACTTTAAGGGTAGTATTCATCCAGCTGGCTGCCATTGAGCTGATTCCAACTCAGCACCTCTGTAGCAAGATAAATAGATAGTAAATAAACTGACTGCCATGGGGTCGTTCTGACGCACAGCGACCCTACAGGACGGGGTAGGACTGCCCCTGTGACTCCCAGACTGTTAACTCTCTACAGGAGTAGAAAGTCTCATCTTCTGAGAAGCAGTTGGTGATTCTGAGTCACTGTCTTTGTGGTCAGTACCAAACTTGTAATCAGCTCTCTAGCACTGAGTCAAACTAGGCTGTGAGTGTCTGAGACTATAAATCTTAAAAAAGCAAAATGAAAACAATCCAACCAAGCCCACTGCCATTGAGTAGATTCAGACTCAGTGACTATAGGACAGAGTAAAACGGAATCCTGTGGGTTTTATAAATCTTAAGAAAACAAAGCAACACTCATTGCTATTAAGTTGATTCTGAGTCTTAGCAATTTTACAGGACAGGGTAAAATTGCCCCTGTGAGTTTCTGAGACGGTCACTCTTTTGTTACAAGAGTAGAAAACCTCATCTTTCTCCCCCAGGGAGACAGGTGGCTTTGAACTACAGACCTTGTGGACAGCAACCCAACACAAACCAGCATGCCATCCAGGTTCCTATTGAATTCAAACAGACTGTCATATTTCTGAACTGCTCAGAGGGCACCGTGATTGATCGACCTCTAAATCAATTCAGAGAGTACTGCTTGCACTGGCAAGACCTCAAAATGCAAAGCCCCCAAATTCAAACCCTCTGCCACGGAACCGGATCTGACCCAGCATCCCACAGGACAGCGTAGAACCGCTCCCTTGGGTGGCCATGACTAAATCTTTATGGAAGCAGGCTGCCACATTTCCCTCCTTGTGGAGTGGCTGGTGGGTTCGAAGCCCCACCCATTTGGGTAGCAGCCCAGTGCTTATCTCGTGGGCTCTTCAAACTGGCAGTGCAGGAATGGAGAGGGTAAGCATTTGATGTCAAGAAAGCGTCAAAGAGGGGGCGGTTTTACTTTAAAGTTTTCTTTTCCTCTTCTCGTGGATCTTGGGGAAAACTTCCTTCATCTACCAACTTGTGCTGCTTCACACTGATGGACACCAGGCTCCGTGGAGCCCTGTGGACGCCTTGATACTTACCTCCTGGATAACAGATGCAGGTTAAGGGAGGTAGGGTTGAGCTGGATACCTGAAGGAGGTGTGGAGTCGGCAAGCACAGACGAGACAGACACGAGAGAGAGGTTTTGGTGGAAACAATCTCTGCTGAGTTCTTCCAAACAACTTTTTTCCCCCATAAAGTTTTGCAGACCACTACATAAAAACAATGCTTTATGATTAACTCCAAAATCACCCTTATTGTTTCCACTAAAACCTGATAAAAGACCATTATAAGGTCTGTAGTTTTTTCTATCACTTTCTGTCCTCTTCCTGGTTCTTTCTCCCTGTTCTTTTTGTCTTATACCTCACGTACTATTCTTGATTGAGGAGTTCAGAAAATTTTGTTAGACTCATATCCTACTCACTGCCCTATTTTTTGCTCACAATGTTTCTTTGCTGGTTGACTAACTTAACATAATGAAACTACCTCATGTGCTACTTCAAAGCCTAATATCTACAAGCAGAGTTAAATGCTTCTCAGAGTTAGATATTTTCAATTACAAACTCCCATGGTAACTGTACCATTGTCCACCTATGTCTCTTTTATTTTTTATGCTCCTGAGGCACCATGGGGAGCCAAACCGTCTGATTTTTTGCCAAAGACTTAATGTTTCCCTTTTTACATGTTTTCTCTTAATGTTAACCATTCTCTCTCCTTCTATGTAAGCCCCTGTCCAAACTAAAGGGGCATCATTTGAGGG